ACACGTGATCAGTCGCGAAGGTGTGAAGCCTGACCCAGATAAAACAGCAGCCGTCATAAAGTTCGCAAGGCCTGTTGATAAGAAAGCGGTCAGGCGTTTTCTGGGTCTCTGCGCCTACTACCGGCGATTTATAGCAGGCTTTGCACACATCGCCTCTCCACTCACCTGCCTTACAAGGGAAGACATCGCATTTGTGTGGGGTGAAGAGCAAGAAGCTTCATTCAACGAGCTGCGACAGCGTCTACAAACTCCACCTGTCCTCGCTCACTTCGACGAGAATGCACCAACAGCCATCCATACAGACGCCAGCAATGTGGGCCTAGGTGCTGTTCTTGTCCAATGCCAAGATGGTGTGGAGAGAGTGGTTGCCTACGCTAGCAGAACGTTGACACGCCCCGAGTCCAACAACTCTACAACGGAGAAGGAGTGTCTGGCCGTCGTTTGGGCAGTTGCGAAGTTCCGCCCGTACTTATATGGCCGCGCTTTCCAAGTCGTAAGCGACCATCACTCTCTTTGTTGGTTGACCAACATGAAAGACCCATCTGGACGTTTAGCACGATGGAGCTTACGGCTCCAAGAGTACGACATGGCCGTAGTTTACAAGTCCGGAAGGCAACGATTAGACGCCGACTGTTTGTCAAGGTCACCGATTGAATCACCGGCTATAGAGGATGATGATTTCCTAGGTTTTTTAGGATTTGATGATGCAGCTATCATTTCTCGGCAACAACAAGATGATCAGGAGCTCAACTCGCTTATAGAATTCTTGAACGTACGAGCCGCCAATGCACCAAGAGTGTTTTCGAAGAACTTTTCCTCATTTTGTTTACGGGACGGAATTCTGTACAAAAAGAACTTTTCATCAACAGGTAGAAGCTATCTGCTGGTAGTTCCTGGAGCTCTCCGCAGCGAAATTTACAAGCCTGCCATGACGAAGCCACTGCGGGCCACCTCGGTTTTACAAAAACACTGACACGCATCAAAGAAAAATATTACTGGCCAAGAATCGCAGCAGAGGTTAAACATTACGTCCGAACATGCATTGACTGTCAGCGGCGCAAGGTACCACCTGTCAAACCCGCTGGGCTATTACATCCTGTGCCCGTGCCAGAAACCCCGTTTTCTCAAATCGGAATGGATCTGCTGGGCCCATTCCCAACATCGGACAGCGGCAACAAATGGGTTATAGTGGCGACGGACTACCTCACCCGATACGCGGAGACCAAGGCAATCGCGAGTGGCACTGCAGCTGAAGCGGCTCAGTTCTTCATTGAGAACATTGTTCTGAGACATGGTGCTCCAGCTGTCGTCATAACAGACAAAGGTACCGCGTTTACAGCTGAGCTTTTGTGCACTGTGCTTACGCTCAGTGGCACAGCGCATAGGAAGACGACAGCTTACCACCCACAAACTAATGGGCTTACAGAAAGACTTAACAAGACAATCGCTGACATGCTTTGCATGTACGTCGACGTAGAACACAAGAATTGGGAACGAATATTGCCGTACATCACATTCGCGTATAATACGGCGCGCCAGAAAACAACAAAAATGACGCCATTCGCACTAATTCATGGCAGAGAAGTTACGACAATGCTTGACGCCATGCTGCCTTACGATTGCAATAATTCAGAGACAGACGCCGCAGACTTCACTGAGCGCGCCGAAGAAGCAAGGCAGCTTGCCCGCGACAGATTAATGAACCAGCAGCAACTTCACGCCCAATGGTACAACCTTCGCCATTGATTCGTCATTTATCAACCAGGAGATAGAGTCTGGGTTTGGTTTCCTGTACGACGACGAGGCCTCTCAGAGAAACTTCTACGCTGATACTTCGGACCCTACAAGGTTCTGCGTCGTCTTAGCGACGTGACGTACGAAGTCGTGCCCGACGCCTCCTCCTGTTCAAAACGTCGCCAGCATCTGCCTGAGACAGTGCACGTGGTCCGCATGAAACTTTACCACTCTCAGTGATGTAAACACTCGACGGCCGCATCTCTACATGTTGAGCGTCGGGACGACGCTCACTCTGGCGGGAGGGTAATGCCGCGTGCATAGCTGCATTTAGCGGCGAGATAGCGACGACAACGAAGAACGCGGATTTGCTCGAGAGGCGCAGCGCAGCAGAGTGAAGAAGACGACAATCTTAGCGGCCTTCTCTGAGAGCGTCTCTACAAGTCCTACTGTCCGTGTTTTTAGATAAACCCCCTGTCATTTATAACCCGCAACAATATTGTGGCGCCAGCCAGTTCCCCTTCCATATCTTCACGCCTTGGGAGCTGGAAGTGTTCTCTTTTTATGTGCTCGTTGATTTTTCTGGAATTCATGCAAATTCTAATTCTGCCATTCTTGTTTTGACAGTAACCAAATGACTTACCCAGTCCGTGAAATTGTTCTCTTTTACGATGGTGCCCTCACGCTCCAGCCTTCGTAGTTCATCTTGAAGAGGGCCGAGCATGAACAGGGCAATACGCCGCGCTAGTTGAACAACAGCAACCGCTGCTGGTTGCAGGCCCATGCTGTACGGTTGCTTCAAGCAGCCTAGTCCTTAAAAGAGGTGCTAGAAATTTGTCACGACCTCGTAGTTTACTGAAGCGCTTACGGTAGCTACAGGTGCGTTGAAAAAGCCTTAGGCTTCACTCGCGTCCAGTCCTAGTGTTGTCTGATTGCCATGTTTGACGACAAAAAACTGCGCTGTGCTGTAACCATTTCCTACTTTTATTTTCTGCGACGTCGCTCCATAGTGTGTTATGACGCCTCCGTTATAGGCCCGTAGAACAGAGGTAGCAGCAGTCAAGGGTCCCGCAGCACGTATTTTCCGGTACGCCGAAACTGTTAACAGGCTGGCCTGTGACCCTGCGTCAACCTCGAAGGATACTTTCTTGCCCGCGACTTCTGCTTCCACTATCCAGTCTCTGGCTTTTTTATTGTCAACGCCCACTCCCTGGGATGTCGAAGTCATCAACGCGGTCGTTTTTTCTGACCTCATCTATTTCGGACATCCGTTGACAACACACGGCAAAATGATTGGGCAGGTGGCATATGTTGCATTTCTTGCCGTACGCAGGACACTGCCTTGGTCTTCGTCGCCGATCGCACTTTGTGCAGCGGTACTGCTTGTTGCAATCTTGGGCGCGTCTGCTTCTCTGTGGTGGTGCACGCCCCGCATTAGCGTCAATGTGGCTGTGTCCGTTGCCCTCCAAACTTCGTTTCGTTGCGCCACAGATTCTGCAACCTTGAAAAATTCTTCTGTTTTCCCTAACGTCATCTTTGCTTCGCCAAGCATTTTTTCGCGCAACTTTGAGTTATTCGTGCCGAAAACTATTTGATCGCTGATCATTGAATCCTGCTGTTCTCCGAAATGGCACTACGCAGCTTGCTTTTTCAGGTCTCGAACAAATTTTTCGAACGGTTCCCCTTCTGCCTGCTTCCTCGAGCGAAACAGATAACGCTCATGCACTTCGTTGCTTACCTCAGAGCAATACGCTTCGAACTTTTCAAGGACTGTCTTGTAGTCTTCCTGGTCTTTTTGTGTTTCATACTTGAACGTGCTGAACACGTCGAGAGCTTCCTCACCAGCGACACTAAGAAGGACGCCGTTTTTGCGGCTTCATTTCGGGGTTGGTCCTTCGCCGCGGTCGCCACAAGGAACAGGTCGAACTTTTGTTTGAAGCGTTTCCTTTGCTCGGAGAGGTTGCCGGTCAGCTGCAGGCGTAGTGGTGCCTTGAGTACTTCCATCGATGGGGTTCCGCTGAGAGCGAGACGAAGCTTTGACCCGAAGTGACTACTTCTGACACCATGTACTGTTTTCAATGCTGGTCAAGTAAGGATCAAGACAACTACATGGTGGCAGGAACAAGACTGTCCCCAGGGTTTACTTGCAGACTCTTATTTTGGCGAAATGTGTGATAGCAATACTATCGTGACAAGGCAGGCAGCGCAGAGAGCGCATGCCTGTTACAGTATTGATTAAAAAGAAAATCTTGCGCATACCTGAGGGACAACAATAATACGTCACTATTTTGTGACGTGTTTCTTGATACTATAAAAATCATAGGTAAGTAATGTTACCCTATGCCCCAAAAAACGGTTCTTTCCTGCGCTTCGCTAACACGATATGATGGTGGCACCAGCCCACTGCGCGCATAGAGGCGCTTTAATGAAGCGCCTCCAGAATCCCACTCACCGAACTTCTCACGCAGAATATCATATAAATCTTTTATTCACTCTCTTAAGACTGAAGACTATCGTCATTCGACGACATTTTCAATGAAAAATGCTTATACGGGGCCGATTTTTGTTGTGCTCCTATGTACTGTATTCTTACAATGTATGCCTTAAGTTATTCTTGATTGCTTCTCTAATATAGCAGCAATTTTGTGTTTTTTCCTAAAATATCCTAAATAAATATGGTATAACTTGAAGCTATTTTTCATTAAAATCAGTAAAAAGGTTCATAGTCACATCAACTGCGTCTGTGCTCCAAACATGTAATAAACTACTCACGTAATTGATTATACCAGTAACTAGCTGCACGGGCTAAATGTTTAAATACTACTGTAACTATTTTTTGCATTATCTTAATCAAATAAACAATAAATATTTGATTGCCCCGCCGCGGTGGTCTAGTGGCTAAGGTACTCGGCTGCTGACCCGCAGGTCGCGGGTTCAATTCCCGGCTGCGGCGGCTGCATTTCCGATGGAGGCGTAAATGTTGTAGGCCCGTGTGCTCAGATTTGGGTGCACGTTAAAGAACCCCAGGTGGTCTAAATTTCCGGAGTCCTCCACTACGGCGTCTCTCATAATCATATAGTGGTTTTGGGACGTTAAACCCCACAAATCAATCAATAAATATTTGATTTATTCACTGTTCGGATCTTTTATGTTCTAGAGGGCGATATCAGTGTTCATTAAAGAAATCTAAGTAGTCGAAAATTCTGTAGCCCTCAAGTAGCGTGTGTCCATAACCTAGCGTGATTGTGGGAAGGAAGACCACAGAATTTACTAATACTTGAAAACGACTTGAGCATTCTGTTTTATTTCCTTTCATTATATTTACACACTAGGTAACAAATACTAAACATTTGTACAAATGCTACGATAGGGAGACATTGTGATCTCGCGCTGGCAAACGTAATGCAGCCTTGTAAAAAGCTGATGGACACATAGTGTCTTATAGCATCCACAGTTATTTGAGAGTTTCAAAGTTACTGTGCACTATTTCCAGGAAGGACCTGAATTCGCCAAGTGAACCTAATTGGTTAAAAAGCTAATTGTTTAAGTTTTAATAATTACTACCATTTTAATGTTTGTGCACATCTGAAGATGCATTCTTCCACAGTAAAAGGAACACCGCAGGTAGTACGCAGATGCTTCCTTTCTGTAATTTTTAAATAGCATGCGACATTCTTGAAAACCCTTTCTGTAAAAGTTGTTGCAAGAAATGTGTTATCACCGGGTAAAAGCCGCCTACATTTCACTCACCACTGCGAAGAACTTCTGTCATAAAATGCTGTTAGAGGTGATGTAAATTCTAAGGCGCCATTTGGCTCTTTGAATTGGCATCTTTGATAGCACCCATATTTTGTTAATTACAAAACTGAAAAACATTATTTACTCATATATTTAATGTCCTTTATGGCTGAGTACATCTTCTTCTCGTCACGATCCCATACACGGATAACGAAAAAATAGAAATGTCAAAAAACATTCACACTGTACCACAAACTGACACTGTAGTGTGCTTTTCACGTTTGCGAACACCACGAGCCTTGGGTCCAAGAAAAAGTAACATGGAACATACAATGTATATTGCCCGCTGCAGCAAACCTACGCACAGAATTCCTCAGTGCACAGCGCTCCTTCGTAAATAATTTGCCCAACAATGTTATTGCACTTTGTGATTTTCTTGTTTACAGGCCGTTCCGTACGTCACCTCTTCAGTGGCACAATGTAAATGGGCTCCTCATGCTTTTTTTTCTTGCTTCTGCAATGCAAAAAAAAGAGAGTTAAGGCAAGTATTTTCCTAAGCACACACATTAGTGCTAGTATGCTGCTCATATAGATGTCTAAACATTGGACTCTAATAAACTATTTTTAATATGGGAGAAATAATTGTAATACTACTGGCAAGTGAGACAACGAAGAAACATTGAGTATATACAATTTGAGTAAATTGTATTTTTCAGCTAGTGAAACGATATAGAAAGAACACATGGCTCATCCTTCGTCGTAAGAATTGATTTAAAACATAAGTAAAACGTTTTCAGAGCAGTGCCCATTGCGTAGTAATCTAATGGGAACTTATGCATTGTGTACTGATGTTTAGGAGTAATAGCACCGTTCGAGGTAGATGCACCCACGTTAACGACTAGGGTTACAGTTCCATCAAGACGACTAACGTCCATGATTGTGAGTTAACTTGTGGCAGCCAAAGTGGCCCCGCAGTGGTGGTCCAGTGGCTAAGGTACTCAGCTGCTGACCCGCAGGTCTTAGAAACGAATTCCGGCTGCGGCGGCTGCGTTTTCGATGGAGGCGAAAATGCACTTGGTCCGTGTGCTCAGATTGCGGTGCACAATAAAAGAACGGAGTCCTTCAATAGGGTATCTCTCAGAATCATATAGTGGTCTTGAGCCGTTATACCCTACCTATCAGAAAATTAATCAATTATTCAATCATGTTAGCTGAAGTTGCCAACATATACCTGGAAATGTCGTATCAATTATTCTGAGAGAAGACAAAATCAACAGCACATAATAAACATTCATAGCGACGTGAACGGCTTCAAACCGACGTCAGTTAGGGGCACAAATGACTTGGTCTGCGCTCCAGAGTAACCCGGTAATGGGCGCCTGTGCTCATTCACAAGCCATATTACAGTACTTTTCGGCAACATGGGAGAAGATGGTTCGTAGCTTGAGCCGCTAACGCGCGCAGACACTCCACGCATTCAGCAAGTCATTGCTCGGTCCACGAAGGCACGACTTTTTGCCGTCGACATCGGTACTTGTTTGCAGCTCTCATTAGATGCGGAGCACCTCGTGCTCGGGTCTATGTCCCGTGGTGTCAGCGTCCGCTTTCGAACTACGCTTGCGCAACTCTTCTCATTGCCCCTTTCTAACAGTTGCGCGTAATTCCCTCTACTTCTGTGCACTCCCCCTTCTCGCCTCTCAGCGCCAACTCAAGGATCGACTGCTAACCTACGCTCACCCCCTCTCCTCTGCGCAATTCTCTCCGAGGCATTTACAGCACCAGTACTCACGCGCGCGCCCTCCCCTCTGCCACACGCTGTGCTGACGCAGACAACGTCTGCTAGCGAGTTTCTTAATGGAAAAAAAATCACAGCATAACCATGGTGTGAATGATGATTAGTGTGGCGAAGCATCCGTCCGTCCATTGGTCACCCCGCCGCGGTGGTCTAGTGGCTAAGGTACTCGGCTGCTGACCCGCACGTCGCGGGTTCGAATCCCGGCTGCGGCGGCTGCATTTCCGATGGAGGCGGAAATATTGTAGGCCCGTGTACTCAGATTTGGGTGCACGCTAAAGAACCCCAGGTGGTCGAAATTTCCGGAGCCCTCCACTACGGCGTTTCTCATAATCATATGCTGGTTTTGGGACGTTAAAGCCCACATATCAATCCGTCCATTGGTCAGTATTCATCTCTCTTATATCTGTCTGTCCGTCCGTCCACTTCTATAACACTAGAGCGTGCTTCAGACGAAAAGACGCTTCGCTCCACTTGTCACATGAACTCTGTGAATATTCTGTGAATTTCTAATTATAACAGCACCATATACGCACTTTATTCGTCAACTATACGAAAACCACTAACACCAACTAGTGGTACTACAAGGACTATACCTTGCCATTTCCGAGCAACTATTCAATTCTAACTAGAAGTGACTACTACAACATTCTGCGAGAAAGCGTCTCACAGCCGAAGGAGCTTCGCTCCTAAAATTTACTGCTGGCGCTGCACAACCGTCCACTGGCCACCCCGTTTAAAAAAGCTCGAGTTTGCGCAGCACTATTCACCACTATAGCGGTGAGAGGGCAAAGCTCCGGTTGCTCGGCCGAGCCGCGCTTGCTTGGTTTTCTCATTGCACGCAAGGAAAACCGTGTTTCTTGGGGCTTTCATCTCAATTTCGCGAGCTAAGGAATGCCGCTCCTTCGTCTTTCTGAAAAACTGGCACACAATCCTGCTGCATTGAGAGCTTGAAGAAAAGACTTAAGATATCTCAGAAATGAAAAGTGCCCGTGATACTTTGCCATTTCTAATGCAAGCAGTGCCAAGAGAAAAAGAGTCAAAAGTGAATTATGGCAGTTCATCGATACTTCCGCGGTTTTGTCACATAGAAGAATTTTTGTCCTGCACAGTATTACCAACTGTTACGGAAACAAACGTGGTGGTACGTTTATACGCTGAAGCTACAGAAAATAGACAACCGCTATACATTTCTAGATTAAGCGCCAGCTTTCCAAGAAAAACAAACTGTATCGGGAAATTGGCTGAGCTGCTAGCTCAATACAGCGCCAGTGTTCAAATACCGCACCGTGTGCCGTTCAAGTGTCTTATTCAGCTGACGGCTGCAGACGTTGTCGCTATTCAGTGCGAAAAGGTTTATGCTGCGTGTTTGCACTCAGCGTTTATACGGAGAGGTCTCGCAACCAGCACCCACTGATAAGTGAACAGGCTTAGGTGTGCTGCAATCTGCAAGCCACCAGTTGCTGATGCGCAGTCAAACTTTGCGCATGCCTCGTATCTTTCTTCTTCCTTCTCCCCACCCCATTTCTCTTGTGTTAAGGTGCTGCAGATAAAGGCACGTCTTTTGCTGGTTGATGCCTGTCCGTTTGTTGCGGAGCGGTCTAGCCGCCTGATTTTGTAACAGTGGCCAAGAGAACTTCTATCAAGGACGACCAAGATGACCCAATGGACCTACGGAGCACCATGAGTGAAGCGCTACCGGAGTTCAACGGAAAAAAAGACGTGTGGTCGTCCGATGTTATCAAAACTGAAGCTTGTTATAAAACGAGTGCAATTACTGACGATTTTAAAGATAGAGCACTGCTTTTAGCCAACCTTGGATAGAAAACAGACGGTATTCTGTTATGGAGGACATGCGCCCGAGAAGCCGAGCAAGACAACTTATGAGCAAGTTGTGAACTTGCTGAACGACTAGTATGATCCCACTCCGCATTAAATTGCTGAAGGATTCAGGTTCTTTAACCGATGTTAGCAGGAAGGCGAGTTGACTTATGAATTCATCGAGGAAATTCGGAAGCTAAGCCAAAACTGCAATTTTCGCACAATGAGGGACATGATGTTGAAGAAACGCATAGTGTGCGGAGTGAAAAAGAATCTGCAAATGCAGTTGTTTTCCAAAAAAGAATTGACTCGAAGCGGAGTTACTCGCCGTTCTGTAGAACACGGACTTCAAAGAAGAGTTTGCAGACCTATTCAAAGAAGGCTTTGAGCTCACCAAGGCACCATCAGCGCGTCTTCTACTCAGGGATAGAACATCACCAATATTTCGCAAGGCAAGGAGTGTTTATTTGCATTTCACTAAAAATACTTTAACGAGTTATACTAGGTTGGTGTCCAAAGGAATCCTATCACTCGTATCACGCTCTGAATGGGCCACGCCGATAGTCCCAGTGCTAAAAAAGAATTTGTGGCAAATAAAAAGTCACGTTCAACCCCGCGTCTGATGTAGAGCACTTTCCGCAGCCATGATAGATGACGTCTTTGTTCGTTTGCGTGGTGGCGAGCAGTTCGCAATTGTAGACTTTCGAGATGCCTACAATCACATTTTTTGGACTAATACTCCAGTAAAATGATGATTGATTTGTTGGGTTTAACGTCCCAAAACCACCATTTGATTATGAGAGACGCCGTAGTGGAGGGCTCCGGGAATTTTGACCACCTGGGGTTCTTTAACGTGCACCCAAATCTGAGTACACGGGCCTACAACATTTCCGCCTCCATCGGAAATGCAGCCGCCGCAGCCGGGCAATCGAACCCGCGACCTGCGGGTCAGCAGCCGAGTACCTTAGCCACTAGACCACCGCGGCGGGGCAGTAAAATGGCAGTTATAAACAGTCGCAAAGGGCTTTTTCGATACAACAGTCTGTATTTCTTCCACTTTTGCTAATTAAAAAAAATAGAAACCATCTCGTAAGGCATACAACAGTGCAGGCAAGATCTAGTTCAAGTGTCCGAGAAGAAGGGGAAGCACAGAAACTTAAAGTCGGTGTTACAGCGCTTCCGTGAACATAGTATTATGTTGCGTCTTGATAAGTGCGGTTTCCATAAGCCATTAGTAGCTTATCTCAGCCGTCATAACGATGTCAGAGGCCTACAACCAATCGAGAAAAAACGTTGAAGTTAGCAGGTTAGCTGGGTAGCCAAGAAAAGTCTGTGAAGTTTGTTCATTCCTTGGCTTGATAACGTTTTATAACAAATTTATGCCCAATTTGACCACAATGTTGTCACCATTGTACGCAATTCTGGAAAAGCAGCTGGGTGGGTGAGGGGTGCGAAGGAGCAAACTGCATTCAAGAGTGCCAAAGACTGACTTTGTTCAGCGCCTGTGCTCGCCTATTTCGATCCTGACCGCGAACTCAAGTTAGGATGCGTCGCTTCACCGTATGACATTGGTGCCGTTCTCTACCATTGCATTGACGGTGAGCAGCAGCTTATCGGATTTAGACCCCGAAAGTTGACAGCTGCCGAAACAAACTATTCTCCGATTGAGCTAGAGGTACTCGCTTCTGTATTTAGGGTCACAAGGTTTGGAGAATATCTTCGCGGGCGAGAATCTGTTATTGCTATAGATCACCAGACTGTGCTGGGCTTAATAAGACCAGATCGTCAAACACCGGCAATGCTGCGGCAAGAATTCAAACGTGTGCGCTTCTTTTGGGCACGAGTATCGCCTGTAATACAAGCCCTGTAAATAGCTCGTAAATGCTGATTTTGCCTCTACC